AAAAAAAAAAAAATTATCTCTCCACCCTGTATATAGTACAGTAACAACAAAAACAATGAAAAAAAATGTAGATAATTTTATTAGAAGCAGCTTTTGTATTTAATTTTTTTCTGCAACCCTTGTAGATTTCGAGATAAGGTATAGGCCCCTCTTAAACGGGCCACCCTGTACATACAGGTATAGGTGCTTATAAAGGTGATTCTTCTAAATATGAATGTCATAATTTAAATTAAAAATTCTGCATTGTTCGGAATAAAGATTGTTTGAAAATAAAATATTGTATTTCATTCGGAGTATAAGTATTCTTCATGTGACTTGCATGGATTTGATTCGCCTCGCTGCGCTCGTCGTTCAAACTTCCATGCGCGCCAGATAAGTATTACTTATACTCCTAATAAAATAAATAGGTATCTATTAGGTATTTACTTTTATTATCTTCTACTACGCTCTTGATTTTTTCAAAATGTTGTTTACCTGCATATAAATACAATAAAATAAATAAATTAGTTTAAAAGGATATGATATAACCAAAAATATTTATTTTTTATCATTCCTCTTACTCCACTACTTTTTTGTACGCCACTGTTGGCTTTATTTTGAAAGATACGAAAAAAATATATATATCAATCGATAGAGAAAACTGTATTTTTAATTTTTTGTATCTTCTATTTTTTTTGGTTTTCAAGCGGTTTTAATGATATTGATCAACACGTGTCTCTGAATACCCCCCACCACATTTTTGTTCCTGTGGGGCCTTACCTTGAAAAGATAAACAAAAATTAGGTCATAGTCATTATGCAGAATTTTGTGCTCTATCGATTGGCACCAAAATGACGTTTCTATCTTTTACCGTTTTTGAGAAAAATAATAAAAACTAAAACAATCCACTTATCAAATTTGAGGGGGGTGGAGGGGATGTCGGCATGACTTTTTGAGATGGGTCTGTTCAAAAATCTACTAATTCTGACATGTTTTTTCACTTATCAAAAGGATTTGCTTTCACTCAAAAACCGAAGTATCAAGCTATTTTTTTGCGACAAGTCACTATACTAAAAAGTGAACTGCTGAATCTGAAAGGGACCAAAAATAAGAGAAGTTCGAAGCCTATTTCTTATTTCATAACATACAAACTTAATAAGTTTCTTAGCCCAGCACTCAAATTAAAGTGATATTTTAAAAAATCTACCTAGATTAATCTAAGTAGATGATACAATAAACCGAAATTGAGATAAATGGGTTTTTGAAATGGCACAATTTTAGTTACCTACCTAATTTTATATTTTTGAATAAATAAAATGAAATTACACTTTGTTTATATTTCAATAAATTATAGAAGTTATATAGTAGAACAATATCAATACTTACCTACTAGAAAAAAAAATCAAAAAATTTAGATTTAATTCATAGAGATGAGGTTATCAAATCCTTATCGATATGTCACTTTGAGAACACAAGGCGTAGAGAAATTCCGCGAAATCAACAGCCTCACGGCAACACTGAAAGAAAGCAGCCAATCAAGGGGACTGAGGTCACGATCCTTAAAAATTTGAATTTCAAATAAAAATGTTGGGCGTTTCCCAGTACTAAAAAAATCCGAAAAAAAAAATATTTCCGTTATTTTGATTACCCTTTCAGGTAAGCAAATAAAAAAAATCATGAAAAAGACCCATTCTGAAAAAAAAAACATTATGGAAGCTTCAGCACTCTGTGGACTTGTTTTCCAATGTCGATGTTTTCAAAGTCACTATTCCAACTCAACAAAAGTTCACTTATTATGATGGGACACTTTTGTTCGTAGCGCGATCTAAGACTAGGATACAGCACTAAACAATATTTTGCTGTATTAGTACTGACCGTCAATAAGCCGAACAAGAGGAAAAACAAGCTTCTCCTATATACACAGATGCGTTTCGATCTATCGGATCTCATCAGTGTGGCTAGGAGAGCGAAGAAACCCAACCCAAGTTTAGTGCCTGTAGGCAAAGGCAAAGTTGAACCACTTATTATTCTCACTATAATTAGCTCAAGTTAATCCACCAATTTGCTTGCCAATCATCCGCCTAATAAGCTGGACCTAATCCCCTGGTTGTCTTGCCATTTACCTATTGCATTTATTTAGCTCAAATTGATGCACCCATTGCCTTGATAATAGTCCCACTTCTGCAACCAAATTGTCACGGATTCCGGTTCCATTGAAACTCACTTTACAAACCATAATAACTTTTATTGAAGAAATCGACTATATGAAAATTGGCTGTGATCATTATTATATCGTTTATTTAAACTATGAACACAACAAAACTCTTATTTAAACCGCCCTCAAACTATAAATGCGCAATATTGTAATGATAATAATAATAATAATAATATATAACCAAAATTTGATACAGACCACTTTCAGTAATTTGTGATTTATGTTCAAGTTTTACATATTTTGTACTAAAAAATGTTTGAACTGCATCTAGAAGACTTAATAACAACTATGTATGCAGATACAGTAGAATTCCTGATAACAGAAAATACAACGGAATACCTGGAAAACCGGTCTGGAGCCTCTGGAGGTAGTGAACATGTTTTGCTTCTTTAACGATACAATTCCCCGAATAGTCGAACCAGGATTAGTATAAACAACTAGATTCTTAGACACGCCGGGACCTAGATCCAATTTCGTAACAATATCATCATTGGAGACATAAATATTAAGAAGCACAATTAAAAATGAAATTAAATTAGATACCTTTGAACAAACCGAAAACTTTTTTGGTCTTCCATGAAGGGTGGTCCAGGATTCTCTTGATGTGACTATTTCAAATGACCTTGCGTGATAAGACTTTCTCGACCGACTCTCTGGATGTTGAGGACAATGACATAGAGGGCAATCGTATAATTCAACAGGTCTCTTTTCGCGGATGATTTGAAACCGCATCTCAGATTGATGTGGTTTTCACCGACATGAAGAAGGCCTTCGATAAGGCAAATACACTGTGCTATTCTGAAGGCCGTGGCAGGTTTATCAGATATCAGTACCTAAGTGCAAATTATCGGGCGCAACTCAGTGAGTGTTTTTCGAAAGCGCCGCTGGGATAAGCAAGGGATTTAATCTGAGGCCTTTACTTTTTTTGGCTCCAATAATAATAATTAGTTGGTACCTATAGTTATCAACATCGAAGTTGCAAGCGGACTGTTTTGCCGATAATTTCAAAATACATTTTTTCTCCGTGTCATTTCTATAGTTGACTGAAAGATCTTACAGAAAGACTTTTGCAGTATGGCCCAGTGATGTGGCGGTTTTGATAGAATATCAGTTGATAGGAGAATCAAAATAATTATATCTCGAATTACATAATATGCACTCTATTTAAGGCTTCTGTCAGCTGTTCCGTCATTTTGAACCATACAATATGTTTTCAATGCGGTTAACTCACGAAACTCAAATATCTCCTATCTGGCTTACCCAAGAAGAAATAGTAATATATAGAAATTCGTGTACCTATGCTTATAATACCTATCGGTGAGGATTGTGGCTACTACTAGTCTTAATAAATTCAAGAAATTAGTTGAAACAAGGCTTGTAACCCCTATTGTTAAGGAATTAACTGGATGCCTCGTTTACTCAGCAAATAATTATTAGGAGTGGGTCAATACTCAATAGTATGGCACAGAATGGCTAGAGCGCCACTGAATTTGTAAAAATAAATAAATGATTAAATTACGTTAGGTATTGACACAGGTAAAAATAATACAACCATCAAGTAATTTTCAAATTAAATTAGTGTATATTTCCACGGTGATATCAAATTCACAGTGAGGAGAATAAAAATTAGTCAAGAGTAAATAATAAATCAATGGCTTAACTCCTAATCTCAATTAGATCCACGAAACTCAAAAAAATACATAATATCACAATATAGCCTAGTATAGTTGCCACATATAAGTAACAGTTGCTGGCCATATCATCAACTCCAGCAATAAATAAGAACATGAAAGCTTTAAGTTCTTAGAAAATTGTGATGTTTTATGGATAGTATGACTCTGCTTATAAAATAAATTCAGTAATATCAAATTAAAACTGTATGAAATCAAAGCTTAGGTTAAATGGTGGAGGACTACAGGAAATATAACGGAAATCCTCAAGTATATAAGTAGTAAAACCCAGGTGAAAAATTGATCAATTTTTGACGATGTCGGTGCGTACTTAATAAATTTAAGTTTAGAACATGTTGTCCATCCTTGACTTCAGTTCGGATTAATAAAATATAAATTCATAAAACATGGCAGTTCTAAAAGTTAATTAAATATGTTCGTGAAATAATAAGTTCAATAAATCAGAAATTATCTAGTCGCTTCGATGTAAGGAATCCGAAATTAAATTTTTTAAAGTGAAGGTGGTTTCTAGCAGCCATTCAATTTAATTGAGGATTTAATATAATTTAATTTAAAAAGTTTACCATACAATACCATATGACGGACTTCTTGAATTAAATTATATCAAATCTAAAATTAAATTAAATGACTGTTAGAAACTTAAGAGTCAAATAAGTGATCATAAAAGAAATTTCATCAAAAAAATAGGTAAAAATTAATAATGAAACTCTATACAAGCCTCAATTCCAACAAAAACGTTGAAGTACGGTAGCAGGTCTCTTTCTGTCACTCTGTGATGGAAGTTACAGACTCCGGCCTTGAATCAAAGTAGATAGAGGCTAGAAGGTCACAGTCTCCGTTAAATGTTGAGAGAAAGGTGAGGAAATTGATCCCTCTAGGAAGTCACTCGAAAATCTCTATGCCCAAGCTCCAGCCAAACGATCTGCCTGGAAACTTGGGGCTCAACGAACATGGGGATCGTTGGAAATTGGGGATCGTTGGAAATTGGGACTCGTTGAAAATGCATTTGATATGGTAGTTTAGGTGAGTATCTGTAATTGGCTTCGGCTGTTAATACTTGTTGAAAAAATATATAGATAATTGAACAAAAAAATACACTACTTTTAACAAATAACTATATATTCCATATAATTCATTACATATACTTGGTACAACAAAATAGAAGTATTTTTTTTAAACCCTAATTATTGCTAGATCGATAAGCAAGTGATATTTTCATAATATAAAGATAATAAAAAACAGTATAATAAATATTGTCATACATTAAATAATCATGCTTTAGTGCGATATGTTTCTTTTTGAAAAACTCCTATTATTATGTAAGAAAATACATTGATATCATATAAAGATATATTGCATATTATAAAATAATTAAAAACTAGATTGTAGTCATAATCAACTTTTCTTAATATGTAAAACAAAATAAATATTTGACATTTGTTAATAAATTTTTGGTGTATTAAATTTAAATTAAAGTTAAATTAATATCAAGTGGGTAATAATTACATAAAAAATTTACTATGATATTTTCATCTCATTAAATTTCTATCTCGTCCATAGTTTTAGATAATCTGTGATTATCAATTCTTCTCCTTTGACTTCTTCTAACAGCATCTGCGCGTCTATAAGGCTCACTTTTTAGCCCTAAAAGTATGTCTTCCAATGCTCCATTATAGACTTCATCTTGTTGCAGCAATTTCTTCTCTTGAACAAGCCGAGTCTTCGTCTTCAGTTCGTTTATAACTGCGTCCTATTAAAACAAACTAAATCTCACAATTAAGGCAGTTGTTTTCTCACCAACGGTTAAAGTTTAGTGAGTCATTGATATTCCTTTGGTAAACTGAATAATTTTGGAAATTTCAAGTTTACTTTTTATTGAATAGATGGAAGTAGTTTATCATTATTTTTTAATCTACCTTTTAGTACAATACAGGACACCCAACTTCAACCGTCGGTAACAAATCGACCCATAATGCAATATTTTTACGTAGCGCACTAAAATACTGCAACAAATGTGGGTACTTTTTGATTGTAGGTAAACCTTTTATACTCTCATAGTTCCAAAAAATACCTTGCACCTGATTATGTCGGAACCTGCTGTTTGTATTGACCAATAACTCAACTTCAACCATCGGTAACAAATCGACCCCTATTGCAATATTTTTACGCAGCGCACTAAAATATTGCAACAAATGTAGGTACTTTTTGATTGTAGGTAAACCTTTTATACTCTTATAGTTCCAAAAATTACCTTGTACCTGATTATGTCGGAACCTGCTGTTTCTATTGATCAATAACCCAATTTCAACCATCGGTAACAAATCGACCGCTAATGCAATATTTTTACGCAGCGCACTAAAATATTGCAACAAATGTAGGTACTTTTTGATTGTAGGTAAACCTTTTATACTCTTATAGTTCCAAAAATTACCTTGTACCTGATTATGTCGGAACCTGCTGTTTCTATTGATCAATAACCCAATTTCAACCATCGGTAACAAATCGACCCCTAATGCAATATTTTTACGCAGCGCACTAACATATCGCAACAAATGTAGGTACTTTTTGATTGTAGGTAAACCTTTTATACTCTCATAGTTCCAAAAAATACCTTGCACCTGATTATGTCGGAACCTGCTGTTTGTATTGACCAATAACCCAACTTCAACCATCGGTAACAAATCGACCCCTAATGCAATATTTTTACGCATGGCACTAAAATATGTTGCAACAAATGTAGGTACTTTTTGATTGTAGGTAAAACTTTTATACTCTTATAGTTCCAAAAAATACCTTGTACCTGATTATGTCGGAACCTGCTGTTTGTATTGATCAATAACCCAACTTCAACCATCGGTAACAAATCGACCCCTAATGTAATGTTTTTACGCAGCGCACTGAAATATTGCAACAAATGTAGGTACTTTTTGATTGTAGGTAAACCTTTTATACTCTCATAGTTCCAAAAAATACCTTGCACCTGATTATGTCGGAACCTGCTGTTTGTATTGACCAATAATCCAACTTCAACCATCGCTAACAAATCGACCACTAATGCAATATTTTTACGCAGCGCACTAAAATATTGCAACAAATGTAGGTACTTTTTGATTGTAGGTAAACCTTCTATACTCTCATAATTCCAAAAAATACCTTGCACCTGATTTTGTCGGAACCTGCTATTTGTATTGACCAATAACCCAACAAGAAAAGTGCATGGTCCCTACCACAATCCATCTAATATACTAGGCTTTTCCAATGCAGACTTTCCCTTTAACGAGTGATTCTTGTTTGTATAGATCAACACGTCCTAAAAATAAATCATCGACATTCAGTAATATCTGTAGTGAGTGGAGGGCAGGGGTGCAATCTGGTGGGTGATGAGCTGAAGGTCAGTCAGTAAGTTGTAAGAGCTAAAGGTATTAAGTCGTCTCGCTTCTGCCGGCACTCGCTTTATTTCATTACCTAGTGGTTTTCACGAATAGTTCGATCCGATCGGTCGGTTTGAAAGGAGAAACACCGATTTCACAAAAATTCACTAATAATTATGAAAGTTGTAACCTAGTGCTCCGCAAGTTGCGTTATGTAGTAGTTTTAGTACTTGTACTGTACATTTTCAATTTATTTACAAAATAAACTTTAGTGGCGGGAGTCTTCCAATCTAATATCATTCTTCGTTGCTTTCACCTGGTTTTTCGAAAAATTAGAACAACAAAATCTCTTGAGCTGGCCCTGAAATCCGTGTAACTGGGATCTCCTGGGTATACGAGAAACCTCTTGGATCTACGCCACGCGCCATTACCATTTCCTTGCCAGCATTTTTTGCTTATTTCGTAATGTCTTTGTCACTTCTAGTAACAGTTTCGTTTTGCTTGGTCCCCATCCGTTGAACAAGACCAACATTTCTGGCTGCCTCCTTTTCTTCGGGCATTCAGCAAATTTTGTGTTATCAATACACGGTCTTCATGAAAGGCTATCAGCGTTGGAATAACTTCTTTCTTTGCGATGGTTGATTTGGAAGTCGTAACTTTGTAATTTACATGAATAACGCGCGATTTCACCTTCTGAATTTTTAAAATTTAGCAGCAACTGCCAGGAGAATGGTCGGTTCTAAATAGAAACTTCTTTCAATGGAGAAATCTGTGCTGTTGAATGAATCTTACCACATTACTGCAAGAAGCTCCTTTCGTGACAAAATAATTTCTTTCGGCCTTTCCAAGGGATTCACTGAAATACATATTGGATTACTTGTCCGAGGAAGTTTCAATTCGCTTGTAGGTTGGCACTGAATCCTGACAAAAACTTTCTTCAAATTCGACAAGTGACTGGCAATCCGAACAACAGTAAAGGCGGTCCCCTCTTCATCTTCGATATTCAGTTTCATCTGCCAATATCCACTTTTCAAGTCTAGAATTAAAAACCACTTGGAGTATCGTCAATCCGGGGTAATAGGTCGCTATCTTTCTTCGTAACGTCGTTCAGTCTTCTATAATCCACAAGGACCCTCGTGGAACCCTCTTCTTTGTCACTAGTACGACTGGCGATGACCATTGACTTTCACATTTTTCGTCGGTGTAGCTATGCAAAAAGAAGTCTTCTTGGTTATTGGCGAATGACACTTCCTTGATGATACAAGATTGGTTTGAAATCATCCCCTCATTCACAAAATCAATGGCTCCCTTAATTTTTGGCTAGCCTTAACAAATTCAGCTTTTTTTGAAATTGTCCATTAGTTCTAAAGATCAGTCGACTACATTTGATACAGGCCCCTCCTTTTTGCATCTAATTATTCGGATAGCAGATGCACCCCTGCCTATACCTTTCCCTTTCTTCAACGACACCCAGTTTGTCGTTAGATCTGGATTAACTTTGGTGAAGTTGACTAGACAGTATCCGACAAGTCATTGTTTGAAGGCGAAGAGAAAAATATTTCTACTAGCTACTCACTAGCATGTTATTTTTGAAGTCCACGGATAGAAAAATCAACGAACATTCGCACCCATTCTCAACAATGTACTTTTGTCCGTCAATATAGATTAAATACAATATAAACTTATCATCTATGTCAGCAACCAAAACTTCTATCTTCAAGCTGGTCTTGCCTATTCCCAATGTCATGGTAATCTCTCCAAAAATATTTATTGAATCTCCTTTCGCGGTTTCTAGTAGGGACTTATTTTTTTGACAAAATCACAGAGTCCTGAGGAATCTTGTCGGGGCGTACTTCCGATCTTGATGCCCCCGATTACAAATCGAATTGCTTGTCGTTGAGGTTGGCTCACGCAGCGATGCTCTCACAATTTAATTTGATGGAGAACACTCCTTATGTGAGGGTTCAAGAACCAGTAGACGCGAGCGTTCGCCCCCATAACACTGGCGAGGAACCGTTTCCCTCATGTTTGGAGCTACATTCCTCCACATCGCGGTCCTCTAATAATATCCTCGAGTTTTAACACTTTTTAGTCTTCTGGTTCTTGAACAGTATTTCTGAATTATCGCTTCCAATTTTGGAAAAATATTTGTACCCTGGCGTACTTCGGCCATCCTCACTTTTCTAGTTTTGCTTATTCTGTTCAACAAGGAGTTTGTGGCAGATTCAAATTTAGTGCATGAATAAAGGTTTTCGCGAGGGTGTTATGCCTAATCATTCTTAATATACTTGCTGCAGTATCTCCTACTCCATCGATGAAGTAGTAGACATGTATACGTTCAATGACGTCTTCAGTGGATATGCCGGTTGGTCTAGCACTCTGCTTTGTAGATGACTGATACGCTTGGCTAAAATATATGTTTCCGTACCTCATCTTTAAGGCGTCTACAATAGCAGCATATTCACTTTGTTTTGTATCAGCAATATTCTGAAGAATTGCGGGCGCCTGTTCTCGTGACTGCAGTACCAATGCGTCGGTTATACATAAACCCAGGATGTTCCGATGTTAAAAATTGATGGTTCGAGATTGCAGCACATGAGAAGGCTGACCGACATATCCATTTTGCTGCTTCGTACGTTGCTGGTATCATCATGTACTTTCTCTCCATTTTTGTCTCCACTTTTCTGTATTTCTTCTCGAATTCTTCAAGGACCGAAAATATTTCCATTTGAGTTTTTCTCGGATAGTTCCTACTTCACCTTTGACTTCTTTACGGACTGTTTCTATTTCGCCTTTGATTTCTTGTCGAATGTTCTGGAACAATCCGGCGCCGGTATCGCAATCTTTCGTTTAGTCGTCTGGTTAATTGTTCTTGCAAAATTTTCTGAAGCCGATAATGTTTTATCTGTTTTTCTTTCCGTCGTTCTTCTCATGTTCCCCAAATATTCTGGAGTCGATCTTGTTCTAGGTTTCATTTGTTTGTCTTCTTCCTTCGGAAATTCCAAGGAAGCAAGCACTTGTTCTATTTGATCCTCCATTTTGGGGCTTGTTTACTCGTATTCGCCATGAACGAAATATTGTTCGCTCACTTATCTCGCTTCGGACAATTGTTGCTTATGCGGATTCGCAGATAAGTGATTAATTCGACTTTTTTTGAAACCAATAACACCAAAATCACATACGACACTTCATATCACTCAAATTATGCTTAACACTTCCGCTACGGAAGACGCACATGTGCGTCCAAGGTTGCCCCCACTACTTGCGGACGACGCGCTTATGCGTTTTCTTCGAATAGAGTTTTAATGAAGCAGTACGGTTTTCGCAAATATGGGGGATTTTTATTTTTGTCCGCACATAACAATAATTTTGCTCTTGCCTTATATGTCCCG